GGGGAACGTAGCATGCAATTACAAAAAATTTCCTACGATCATGCAAGATCTATCTAGGAGATGCATAGCAATGAGAGGGGGAGAGTGTGTCCACGTACCCTCATAGACCGAAAGCGGAAGCGTTAGGTTAACGCGGTTGATGTAGTCAAACGTCTTCACGATCCAACCGATCAAGCGTCGAACGTACGGCGCCTCCGAGTTCTGCACACGTTCAGCTTGATGACGTCTCTCGAACTCTTGATCCAGCAGAGGGTCGAGGGAGAGTTTCGTCAGCACGACGGCATGGTGATTGTGTTGGTGATGTGATCCACGCAGGGCTTCGCCTAAGCACTACGACACTATGACCGGAGGAGTAAACGGTGGAGGGGGCACCACACACGGCTAAAACAATTGATGTGCTTTAGGGTCCACCTGCCCCCGTATATAAAGGAGGAGGGGGGGGGCGGCCCTAGGGGCGCGCCAAGTGGGGGGAGTCCCAGCTCCCCCCTTCCTTCCAACGGAGAGGGGAAAAGGGAAAAGAGGGGGAGAGGGAGAAGGAAAGGGGGGGCTCCCCCTTGTCCAATTCGGACTCCCTTGGGGGGGAGGCGCCACCTCCCGTGGCCTGCCTCCTCCTCTCCCCTATGGCCCATGAGGCCCATTAACTTTCCCGGGGGGTTCCGGTAACCTCCCGGTACTCCGAAAAAACCCTGAATCATTCCGGAACCATTCTGGTGTCCGTATATAACCTTCCAATATATCAATCTTTACCGCTCGACCATTTTGAGACTCCTCGTCATGTATGTGATCTCATCCGGGACTCCGAACAATTTTCGGTCACCAAAACACATAACTCATAATACAAATCGTCATTGAACGTTAAGCGTGCGGACCCTACGGGTTCGAGAACTATGTAGACATGACTGAGACACATCTCCGATCAATAACCAACAGTGGAACCTGGATGCTCATATTGGTTCCTACATATTCTACGAAGATCTTTATCGGTCAACCCGCAATGACAACATACGTTATTCCCTTTGTGATCGGTATGTTACTTGCCCGAGATTCGATCGTCGGTATTTTCATACCTAGTTCAATCTTGTTACCGGCAAGTATCTTTACTTGTTCCATAATGCATCATCTCGTAACTAACTCATTAGTCACATTGCTTGCAAGGCTTATCGTGATGTGTATTGCCGAGAGGGCCCAGAGATACCTCTCCGATACTCGGAGTGACAAATCCTAATCTCGATCTATGCCAACCCAAAAAACACCTTCGGAGACACCTGTAGAGCATCTTTATAATCACCCAGTTACGTTGGGACTTTTGATAGCATACAAGGTGTTCCTCCGGTATTTGGGAGTTGCATAATCTCATAGTCAAAGGAATATGTACGTATAAGTCATGAAGAAAGCAATTGCAGTACAACTTAACGATCATTATGCTAAGCTAACGGATGGGGCTTGTCCATCACATCATTCTCCTAATGATGTGATCCCATTAATCAAATGACAACATATGTCTATGGTCAGGAAACTTAACCATCTTTGATTAACGAGCCAGTCAAGTAGAGGCATACTAGGGACACTATGTATTGTCTATGTATTCACACATGTATCAAGTTTTTGGTTAATACAATTCTAGCATGAATAATAAACATTTATCATGATATAAGAAAATAAAATAACAACTTTATTATTGCCTCTAGGGCATATTTCCTTCAGGTGGATCGGATGGAGGCACTGTTGGTGCGTGATGACTCGTTAGAGTGCATAGTCAGGGTTGGGAGCTGAAGGCCAGGTCGGCTGGAGCAGCGGGGAGCTCGGCCGCGGTGGCGGGGAGGAAGGACCATTCCGGCACCATCGACGAGCATGGGCTCGCTCCCAGGGCTCCATCTGCTTCCCCAATCTTATGTGGTTCCATTTTTAACCACATAGGGCTCACCGACGACGGATAGAGCCTTTGGGATGGCGACATCAACAACAATGAATTCGGCCGAATCCAGCATTGACGCCGGAGGAGAAGATGGGGGAAAGAGTGTTGAAGCTGTGGCGGGGCTGAGGGATGGTGCCACGGGCGGTGGGGTGGCCTGGGGGCAGCCGACCGAAAAGGTGGGTGGTACGCAAACATGATTAGACATGCCAAAAATGATTTTTTTTACTTCCAAGGCAACAAAAAGAATATTGTTTTGCCATCGAAAATGTTGGAAGACTTTTGTAGACGAGACATGGAAAAATTAGCAATTTGTTTTCCTACAGACATTTCATAAATTGCCACGGGAAGACAAGTTAGGGATATTTAGTTTGGCATGGAAAAATTAAAATTAATTTCCAAAAGGAGTCTTGATCGACATGGGAAATGTTGGAAAAGAAGTGTAGATGAGACACGGCAAAATTACCAATTTGTTTTCCTAAAAAAATTTCAAATTTGCCATGGCTAGCACTTGTTATCATGCCGTCACAATATGTTTTCCCGAAAAAAATCGTTTTATATACACTGCAATTTTGTAAGAAAAAACTACTGGTCACACGTCAAATTTATAACATTGCAAACATGGCAATTTATAGATTTTTCATAATGTCCACATGACAATTTTATGAATTTTTCAAGCATGGACATTTTTATTTATTCATGGAAAGTTTAAGTGTTTGTTTTGTGATTTTTTACATGTAAAAAACAATTTTCTAAATTTTCATAATGTCCAACAGTTTTTTGTGTGTGTGTTTTTCTTTTCGGCAGAAGGGTGCTCGGTAGGCCTGTCATTGGGCCGCTGGGATTTCTTCATCAGTGATAAAAAGAAGGCAAACTCGGTGAACTAGCGGCAGGCAGGCATCTCTCTGTCCCTCCCCTCGCCGTCCGTCTCTGGCTTTCCGCGCCGGCGGCGGCCCCCTCCTATTCTTCTGTTGGTCCAGCTACAAAAGAGTCGCCGCTGCCCACCACATCTCAAGCAAACCTGACGACCGTCTCTTTTGCCCATTGTTGAGTAGGAAGCTGGTGCTGCACATCACCTGCTTGTTGTAATGCCCTGCCCATGTTCTTGGTAGAATTCAACAAAGGGCCTGCTTAAACCTTCGTCACTTTTCTATTTTCCTTCCTCTCGTTGGTCGTCAAGGCCGGGCCGGAGGAGGTGCATGTCTGGGGCGGCGGAGAAGAGGAGCTGACGCCTGAACATGGCTGCCCTGAATCGAGGTCTACTTTTACTCCCTGGCCTCCTCTAACTTGTTTTGCAGCTATACAGAGTCCAGTCCACCATGGTCTCAACCAAACATTCACCGTTTGTTTGCTCCTCTCGTCTTGCATCGAGCTAACGTGGAGGGAGCTGTTGTTGCACATCACGTGTTTGTTCTCATGCCCTGCCCATGTTCTTGGTCAAAACCAAGGATGGTTGCTTAACGACGTCCTATACTTCCTGTTAACATTGGCCCCTTGTGTCATTCCCACGACCAGTTTGTTTCCCTAGGCCAAAAGATCACGTGTTTGTTCTCACCAGAGGATGTTTACTCCCTCTGGTGTTGTCGCTGCACATCACGTGTTTGTTTTAATGCCCTGCCCTTGTTCTTGGTAAAAAAAAAAAAGGATGTCTAGTTGCTTAACAATGTCTAGTACTTCTTGCTAAGTGTTTACGTTTGTTTGGTCAAGAGAAGGAATACAGAATGCATGTCTGAATCCCACTTCTGTAGACCTCTGTCTATATAACTGAAAGAGTTCAGCAGAGTCGTTTGGCCGGGTCACTCTTGACCGATCTGCAGAAAACTGAACCGAAAACTGGTCTTGGGTTGGCAGTAGCACAGCGACAGCCTAGCAAAATATCAAGTGCTGATGGATCAACTTCATGGACCAGTCTTTGCACGCCTTCCTCTTCCCCTGTCCTTGTCAAATTCACCCTGTCATTTCTCATCCACGTATTGTTCTACCACTGAAGAATGGTCTGTGACGCAGATTACAGTCAAGTCAACACCAAGTCAAGTAATGGCCCCGAAAAAGACAGCACCAAGCTAATATGTAATCTTTCTAGGTTGAACAAGCTTTCTCGGCTTCGGTTAAGAGATTGATGGGAGATAGACTGAATCCCTCTTCTGTGGACCTCTATATAACCGAAAGAGTTCAGTAGAGTTGTGTGGCCGGGTCGCTCTTGACCAGTCTACAGTAAACGTGTAGCAGACTTTCAACTGAACCGAAAACTGCTCTCGGTTTTGCGTAGCAGCATAACCTATAGCAAATAGCAAGTGCTGATAAATCAACTTGATGGACCAGTCTTTGCACACCTTTTTCTTTCCCTGTCTTTGTCAAAGTTACCGTGTCATTTCTCAGCCACTTATTGTTCTGCCACCGAGGAGTCTTGGTCTGTGACAGAGATTACAGTCAAGTCAACACCAAGTCAAGGATCCCAGAGAAAAAGACAGCACCAAGCCAACTAGTCAAGTGTCCAAGCCTACTTTGGGAGACACATATAACTCAGGGAATTTGGACAAGATGCACTGCATTAGACATGGCACCTGCAACAACTCTCTGCTCTCTTTCTCCAAATGGCATCCTATTTCTCTTCACCAATCTTCTTATCTTAATGTCGTCCAGCGGCGTCGCAAAATCCGTCAGCAACGAATCGGAGATCGACCTGCAGGCCCTCCTCTCCTTCAAGTCCAGCATCTCCAGCGATCCCCACAGTGTCTTGGGATCATGGAACACCTCGATCAGCTTCTGCAGATGGCCAGGGGTCGCTTGCGGTACAACTCGTCCGTTTCGTGTGGTCTTACTCGACTTAAGCTCTGCACAACTTCGTGGTAAGTTATCTCCTTGGATAGCTAACCTTACATCACTAGAATAGGTAGACCTTTCAGAAAATCATTTCTTTGGGGGCATCCCTGAGGAGATAGGCACACTTCAACACCTACAATCTCTGAAACTTGGAAAGAACAATCTTGTAGGTATAATTCCTAGATCATTAGGCACTAGCAGATCACTTAGAGAGGTCAGTCTTGCACAAAACAATCTTGTTGGCCATATTCCAGACTTCCATAAGATGTCAGCCCTCCAAATTATCGATCTTTCATCTAACAGACTTTCTGGAAGCATACCTTCAACACTTGCAAACGCATCGCACCTCCGCCGGATTGATCTTGGAAACAACTCCCTAGTTGGAACAGTCCCATCTCTAGGATCCTTATCTGACTTACACCTACTAATTCTTCGAAATAACTTACTAGAGGCTAAAAGTTGGGAATTCCTTATCTCTCTCGCAAATTGTGCGCGGCTACAAATGTTGGAAATGAGTGGGAATAAGCTGAGTGGAAGTGTCCCTAGATCTGTAGGGAATATTTCCACAAGTTTACAACGTATAAATCTTGGAAACAATCAAATTGTCGGCAGAATTCCAGTTGAGATTTTTAACCTTCGAAACCTCCAAATGCTTGCTATGGGCCAAAACATGCTTTCCGGCGTTATTCCCTCTGTTATTGGGAACCTAGGCCAGCTGGTTGTCCTAATCCTATCAGAGAACAAATTATCTGGCCAGATCCCATCTACAATAGGTAATCTTTCTCGGCTAAACAAGCTTTATCTAGACAGAAACTACTTGAGTGGGAACATCCCAAGAACTTTAGGAAATTACAAGCAACTGGACATGCTAAATTTATCTTTTAACAATCTTGAAGGACCAATTCCAAGTGAGCTTACCAATAGCACTACCCTCGTCACTTTGGATTTATCAAACAACTTCCTTACAGGATCAATTCCGCTACAAATCGGTGCATTGCTTCAACTTCTCCAACTCGATATTTCCTTCAACAGATTGTCTGGCCAAGTTCCACTTTCACTTGGCCAATGTGTTGAACTATCTTCTCTCAGATTGAAAAGTAACATGCTTAATGGAAGCATACCTCAGTCTTTCAGTAACCTGAAGAACGTCGATCAGATCTATCTTTCCCAAAAGTCCCTTGTTGGACAAATTCCGGAGTTCTTTGCAAACATGAGTTATTTGCAGCAACTTGATCTGTCTATGAACTACTTTGAAGGGCCGATTCCAACTGGTGGCATCTTTCAGAATCATAGTGCGGTGGCATTGGATGGCAATGAAGAGCTTTGTGCAAGTGTAACCACCACCTTATTCCAGTTTCCACTTTGCCCCATGGCGTCAGCTGTTGAGAGGAAGAATGCACTCCTATTGGTGAAAATAATTCCTCCCATTGCTATTGCCTTGCTCTACTTTATATGCTTTGTCTTCACTCTTCTGAAGAGAAGGCAAGCACAAGCAGCTCCATGCTACAAGGAGACAATGAAGAAGGTTTCATATAGTGACATTATTAAAGCTACCAGCTGGCTCTCTCCAGTTAACAAGATCAGCTCAAGTCGCACAGGTTCGATCTACATTGGAAGGTTTGAGTTTGACACGGACCTGGTCGCCATCAAGTTATTCCATCTTGAGGAGAATGGTGCACGTGATAGCTTTGTTACCGAGTGTGAGGTGCTGCGAAACACCCGCCATCGCAATCTTGTCAAAGCTGTCACCGTATGCTCGACAGTAGACCTAGAGAACAATGAATTCAAAGCTATAGTTTTTGACTTCATGGCCAATGGAAGCCTGGATATGTGGGTCCATCCGAAGCTACACAACAATAGCCCCAAGAGAGTACTGAGCTTGGGCCAAAGGATAAGAATAGCGATGGACGTCGCGCTGGCTCTGGATTATATGCACAACCAGTTAACGCCTCCTCTAATCCACTGTGATTTGAAGCCCGGAAATGTTCTTCTGGACTATGATATGACCGCAAGGATTGGTGATTTTGGGTCAGCGAGGTTTCTCTCTTCAATCCCTGGTAGTCCAGAAGACTTGGTTGGTGTGGAAGGAACAATTGGATACATCGCACCTGGTGAGTTCAACTTTGTTTCGAGTATTTTCTTATTGTTTTTTTCTCCTGTAGTAACAATGCTATATCTGATTTTACAGAGTATTGTATGGGATACAAAGTCTCGCCAGGATGTGATGTATATGCTTTTGGAATCCTCATTCTAGAAATGCTCACCGGAAGGCGACCGACGGATGCAATATTCACAGATGGCCTGAGCCTGCACAAGCTTGTGAGCTCAGCATTTCCAGGTAGACTTGGAGAGGTTTTAGATCCCCATTTGTCTCACGGTCACACACATCCGTGTGACAGAGTGTTTATGCGGAGATATATGGTACCCTTGGTTGAAGTTGGCCTCCTGTGTTCTATGGAATTGCCTGAAGATCGTCCGGGAATGGGAGAACTCTGTGCCAGAATTTTGTCTCTGAAAGAGGCATTCTTTGAGTTCTGCTGATTAACTTGCAGATCTACAAGTTCTTGAATAAGAGTATAAGGTGTGAATATCTTTGCTGTAAAAATTGGTTCTACAGACCACAATTTAGTGTGGGAAAGCCATGAGAACTCTAGTTATCAAAATACTGAATTCCTAGAAAGAGTACATGTTCAGTATTGGAGCTCCCTATGTTGGAAGCTCAATTAGACATGATATTTTAGAAGCTGAGTTCATGTGATCCCAATTATTAATCTGCGTATCCAGAGAAGTATATTGCAGTACATATGTGCATTTGCAAGTTTTGGTGAGATTGTATTATTAATAATTCATTGCCCTGGATTTTTGAGAAATGATTTTTGGTTCTTGATAAAAAAAAATAACTTTGAACAGTACACCTATTAACCTGTCTTTTGAACTGATACACCTGTTAACTTTCATATGATTGCAGTGTCTTAGAGTATCTCCAACTGAACCTACTTGTCCGAGGACACTTTCGACAGTGCCCACTTTGAACCCCTATTTGTTCGTGTGCATGCAGTCATTATCCAAAACAATAAGGTGTGCATCAGGGTAGCCCTCTGGCGTGTGCCACGTCGGACTCAATAAACGCCAATGAACAAACTAGTTGCCGTTTGGATGCGGCAAAATTTCGTGTTTTGACCCTTTTTACAAAGAAATTCGAGATCTGACCCCTGTCTGAAACTATTTCGGGATCTGACCCTTTTGACTACCGCCAGGAGGGCCGGCGGTATGTTTGCACGTCCTACCGCCATCATCAGTGGCGGTAGGCCCTCTAACAGCGACTGACGGCCGTCGGCGCGTACTGGCGGGGGAAAGGGCCTACCGCCACAGTCTGAGGCGGTAGGATTCGGTGGCCTACCGCCCGAGGTGGTGGCGGTAGGTACCGAAGAGGCAAGTGATGCTGCGGGCGGGCCCTACCCCACCCACCAGCCCGTTCTTCCTCCTCCCCTCGACTCGAACAGAGTCGAGCGCCGCCTCTCTCCTCATCCCGATCCCCTCCCTCGATCTCCCTCTTCCCTCCACCATTTTCGTGGATCTTTGGGGCAAATCGAAGAGGCCGGTAAGCTCCTCCATTCCCTCCAATCAGTTTTCGCAATGGTTTTTTATTTTTGGAGTTATTTTTGGCACTAGGTGCAACCTAGGTTTTGGTGTTGATTTTTTTATGATGTTTTAGTTGTTTAGGAGTATATGATTTAGTAGTAGGCCTATGTGAGGATGTGTGGGTGAAACAATTGCAAGATATGTGAGGATATGTTGGTGAATGCATATATGTTGGTCCATTTTATTTTGTGATGTGTATATGAATTTTATAAGAAATCTTTCTGTATGTTGAATGCAAGATTGTGAGGATAAAGGCATAACAAAATTCGTAGATGGTTAATGTATTGCAAATTTGTGAAGATGTATGTTTTGCAAAATTGGTAGGTGGTTAATGCATAGTGTGAAAATGTGTGTATTTCTATTTCATATAGTTGCAAATGTATGAACCCTAGGTTTAGTCTTTCTTATAGCCATACGAGGAACCCTCTCTAGTTGATATGATGAACCCTAGAACCTAGATGAACCATAGTCTTTCTTATAGCCATATGTGATGATTTATTGTGTGAATATTGTAGATATTTGTTTTGCTTGCATTAGAACAAATATTGATGTTTAATTAACTTTATCCAATCAATGCTTATATAAGGAACATGGCGCCACCACCACCACTTGATGAGGATGATGACTATGAAGACCCACTTGAGGAAGCCATCTGTGCTCAAAGAGTGAGGCTGAGCGAACGGGAGGTGTGCAACCTATGGGACAACTTTCTGCCACGTGCTGAGTTGATCGGGGCACCATTCGTGACCCGTCTGACAAGTACCATGATCGATCGACATGTCATGGTATGTTATTAGTGTAGAATCCAAGGAATTGTTAATAGTTTAAATAATCCATACTTATCAATTGATATGTTTTTCTTATTCAGAAATTGCCAAAGAGCCTATTTGAGAGTTGTTGCATCGAGGCTGATGAAGAAGGCTATGCTGGAATACGCCTTACCGCAAGGGGCCCCGTCACTACTTGTGCGTATGGCGTGGAAACGGACGGTCGCACACATTTAAGCACAGATGGGTGGAAGAGCTTCCTCGTTGACAAGAATCTTCATGTTGGACAGGCCATCCTTATTACTATCAGGAAGACCAACCGTTAAGGCTTGAAGATGATGATCGTCATCGATATCATCTAAACAATATATGCGTGTGGCTGCTGATGATCGTCATGTTTGATTGCTACCTATTTTGGCTTCGTGAAACTATTTGGATGTGATCAAACTATGTTATGTTTATGTCTATGAAATTGTGATCAAACTATGTTATGTTTATGTCTATGAAATTATGATCAAACTATGTTATTTGGTACTTGTTTCTTAATCTGTAATGGCAAAACTAATTATGCTTATGTCTATGAAATTGTGCCTATTGGTTCTTATGTTCAGGGCCCTTGCATATTTCTATGAAATTGTGATCACATTATTTGGATGTGATCAAACTTCTTATGTCTACAAAATTTTACACGAAACACAGGACCCTACCGCCAGGATCCCTAGCGGTAGGGTCAGACAGCCTACCGCCGTGAGCCCTGGCGGTAGGGTGAACCTACCGCCAGGACGCTTGCATATCTCGTTACAGAAGGCATGCACGGCAAAACCCTGCCACACCTTACCGCCAGAGCCCCTGGCGGTAGGGTTAGACAGCTTACCGCCTGGTTGTCTGGCGGTAAGGTACTTATCCACGTCAGCGCGCGGTGACGGCCCCCGTCTCCCTCCGTCACACCCTACCGCCAGGGTATCTGGCGGTAGCCTATCTAACCCTACCGCCAGGGGCTCTGGCGGTAGCAAAAGGGTCAAATCCCGATTTTTTTTGAACGGGGTCAGATCTTGATTTTGTTTGCAAAAAGGGTCAAAACACGAAATTCAGCCTTTGGATGTTGCCCTCGTTTTCTCCAGTTGCCAATTGGGCGAGGCTGCTGTGAGTGAGCGCGCAGATAACACCTCCCCCATTCTTGAAACCACTTCCCCTCTCTCTCTCTCTCTCTCTCTCTCTCTCTCTCATTTCCTCTCCTCTCCTCCAGTCCCACGCCCCTCCCCTGCTTCTCCGCCGCCGCCACCGCCACCACGGATGAGATGGGCGCTGGTGGGCAGGCTGCGAAGTCGCGGTGGGCGGCGCGGCCACCGTGGCCGTCGGGCTGCGGCGGCCAGCAGAGGACCGCCGCCGGCTGGAGCTCCTTCCTCCTCCACCGCGAAGCAACCTCTTTCCCCCACGAAGGAACGCCGCCGCGTCCGACCTTAACCGCCGACCGAAACACTAGCGAGCCCCACCCATGGCGCCCTACCCTAGGTCAGATCCCTCCTGCCCTTCCTCTTGGTTTCTTCCTTCTTCCTGTGATGCGTGAGTGAGTGATGTGCAGGCAGCTTCTTTCTCTGCTTTTCTGCTCTCACCCTGTCTCTCTCTTCACTTCTCTGTAGGTGGGTGGTACAGCGGCCAGAGAAGAGCAGAGGAGAGGAGGTGGAGCAGCCAGCGCCTGGACGTGAGGTGAGCTTCCCATCGACACCTGCAGTTTTGGACGTTTTTCTTCAGTTTTGGTTCAACACGTTTGTGTGTGTGTGTGTGACCTTTTGGTTCAGTTTTTTGGATGACCGAAACTGAACCAAATTGCGTGTGCATGCATCCATTGTATGCATGTATCTACGCATCACATTTTTCTAACTGGACTGCACCACACTCGTGTATTGCCATGAAAATAAAATGTTGTGGTCTTGTTTCATTTCTTAGCTGCTCAAGTGTAACAATCGACACACTGTCTTTCAATCTACCAACCAAGAGATATTGCTACCTATCTATTTGCCACTTGCTTGCATTCAGAAATTATGTTGATTTCCTCTGCTGCAAAAAAGTCCATCTTGTGTTATTACGCTTGATTTCTTCATTCAGAGAAAGAACATTGAGGTGTGGAAAGGTCTATTCCCAAATTTGTGTACCAGAGCACATTCTAATTAAGACCTTCTTATGTGGGTGCAAACATACTGCAAGAACTACCCGTCGTGCGCCAAATACACAATGCCGAAGGTATCGCTGGGATGAGAGCTGCTTGCAAACTTGCTTCCCGTGTACTGAACTTTGCAGGAACATTTTTTTTTCGAGAAAACGCAAAGAGCTTTGCGTTTCATTGCATTGAAGAGAAGGGATTTTACAATCCTCCTAGGAGGCTGGGGCTACAAAAGACTGTGTACTCGGTTAGTGGACATCCCAGGACGTGGGCAGGACTACCCTGAGCCCCTTTGCCCCAGCTTGTGCCCAACATTTGGCTTCCGTTTTAATCCTATCCACTAATGCTTCTATCGATGTCCGTGTGTTTTCGAAAACACATTCATTGCGCTGCTTCCAGATCATCCAAGGGACAAGCATGGCGATGGATTGCAAGCCTTTGCGCAGCGCGTGCGGTGTCCTCTCTTCGTTCGCTGCCACCAGTCTGTGAGTGAGGGGTCGTTGTGTGGTGGCTGTGCTGGAATGCGACTTTGCAGGAACATTGGTTAAGGTATATTCCTTTTTTCATAGATAACTAGAATCATTTTATACCTAAATCATCTGAAGAGTCTGCATTGTACACTTAATAACAATAATTATTTCACTGTCATTTCAGCCATCAATTACTACAAATGAAATCGACAGGGCAGTGCATCATATGATAGTTGAGGCGGGTGCTTATCCTTCTCCACTTGGCTATGGCGGATTTCCTAAAAGTAAATGAGTGTGCCTGCCACGGACTACCTGATTCAACACAGCCGCAGGTTCTGTAGGATGAAATGTGCATCTTCCTTTCTTTATTTTTATGTCATGCCTATGTACCGTGGGATGAAAAATGTTGTTTCTTCTGCAGAATGGAGACATCATAAATATTGATGTAAATGTGTTCCTAAATGTAAGTTCTCTCTCCTAAGATTGTGCATATGCTTAGTT